ACAGAGACAGAGAGACAGAGACAGAGACAGAGAGACAGACACACACACACAGAGACAGAGACAGAGAGAAACAGACAGAGAGAGAATATTGGGAGAGATGCTATTTTCATTCTCTAGAATTTCCATCACAAATTATCATGAACTAGGCAGCTTGAGGAAACAAATGCATTGCTTAACAGTTCAGGAAGATAAAAGTCCCAATCATGGTGTCCAAAGCCCCCCCCCCCATTTAGCAAGCTATGCATGTTGCACTCTTACTCCCACCCAAGTCCTTACTATGACTACTGTTTAACAAGTCCCTTCTTCTCTACAAATCTCTCTTTCATTTTCATGTCTACCTGAATCACTGAACACCACTGGAGCCTGGGGGCTTGGCAGTAGTGTCTTAGTTAGGGTTTCTATCGTCATGGTAAAACACCATGCAAAGCAACTTGGGGGAAAAAAGGTTTGTTTCATCTTACAATTCTCAGATCATACTCCATCACTGAGGGAAGTCAGGGCAGAAACAATGGAGACAGGAACTGAAGCAGAGACCATGAAGGAGTGCATTGTAGCTTACTGACTTGTTCCTCATGGCTTTGTCAGCACGCTTTCTTACAGCACTTAGGACCACTAATCCAGGAGTGGTACCACTACAGTGAACTGGGCCCTCTTACACCAATCATCAGTCAATAAAACAAACCAAAATCAATCTAGTGGGGGCATCTTCTTAACTGAGTTTCAGCCATCCAGAATGATGCCAACTTGTGTCAATTTGACATTAAGCTGGCCAGCACAAGTGGTTACACACCTGGGGACAATGGTAATCCCTTTGTCAGACTCTATCAATAGCCAACAGTCCAACATTAAGGCTAGGGACCTGTGAGCTTCTCTCCCTTCCATGACTGATTATTAACAAAGCCGGTCCTGTTCAGGCCAGTGTAGATAAACGCAATTATATGAGCTCCTGATTACAATGGGTACATCCAGTCTAGAGAATGGCATTTTACAGCCCTTCTTCCTATCTTCTGGATCTTATCTCCTTATATCCCCATTTTCCCTAGTGCTCTCAGAGCCTTAGAGAAGGTAGTCTGAATGTCTATAGACAGATGTCAACTGTCATTTACTCTTGGCATGTTGGGCAGTCATAAGTCTCTGCATGCACTGCAAAGAGAGACTTCTCTGATTAAGGCTGAGAGTTGCTTTTGTCTGTGGATATAAACAGAGATATTTAGAAGTTCCACACTTGGGGAACCTCCAAGGCATGGGTTGTTGACTTGGCTTGGAGTTCTAGGCATAAGCTCCCACCCAAGAAGCAAATCCAACTAGAGGTAGTATCTTCTTTTTCCCTTCCTATCTTTTTACAAGGGCACCATTATATTGGATTGAGAGCCCACTTTAGTTCACTATGACCTTCTCTTGACTAATTACATCTTCAGTGAACCTATTTCTAAAGAAGATCACATTTTTAATTATGCAGGCTTAGAATTTCAACAAGTCATTTTTACTGGGGGGGGGATACAATTCAACCTATAGCAACTACTCATGTTAACTTGAGTACCCAGCTTGATGTGGTTGTGCACACCTATAATCCTAGTATTTGGAGGTAGATGCAGGAGAATTAGTAGTTAAAGGCCACCTTCAGCTACATAGTGATTTTGAGGCAAGCCCAGGTAATAAGAAACTCCATCTGAAAAATCAAATCAAAACAAAATAGCCTACATTTCCTGCAGGAATTGTGGTGCTCCAAGGGCTGGAGAGCCACATAGATCAGTGGTTCTCAACCTGTGAATCACGACCCCTTTGGCAAACATCTGTCTCCAAAAATATTTACATTATAATTCCTAACAGTAGGAAAATACAGTTAGGAAGTAGCAATGAAAATAATTTTATGTTTGGGGGGTCACCATAACATGAGAAACTGTACTAAAGGGTCACAGCATTAGAAATATTGAGAACTACTGACATAGATGGAAAGATGACTTCTCTACAAATAGGTTTCTCAGGTTCCCACCAGGAAGCATATATCCTATCTCCTGGGTGGTCCCCTTCCTCCAAGCAGGGCAGGTTCACAGGCAATGGTTTCCTCTGGAGTCCTTGATGATTCATGACAATGAGGTTTCCTCAGCACATGAGGAAATAAGAAACACAGGTGTTTCATTTGCCCCTTTGCATTCAGAACGGTTCTTGATGCTCAACTAAGTCTTATTCTTGCTACAATTTGGAGGTGAAAAATCAGGTTAAGAGCTTAGGTCTCTCACTGCTGGGAATAAAGTTTGAGCTTATGAAAGGCTCCCGGACCTGAGTTGAATGTGAGGTAATGTCATCATTACCTAGTGTACAGAAGGCTTATTGCAATCCTTACACTGGTTTCTTTGATCATTCCAACAACAGAGGCCTCACATCTTATTTCCTTATTGGTCAGTCAGCTTTAATTCCTAGAGAATTCCCATGTATTGACCTAGACTTTTACCTCTGACTTCAGGCCCACTTTGGTTTCAACTTTTTGTGCACATGAACTAAACAAAATTGAGCTCAGAGTTTCTGCGGATCCTTTTGCACTTGTCTGTGATGAAGAGGAAGGAGTTTACTCTGTCTTCTGGACCATTTTGCTTCAATATGAGAACCTCTCTTTCTCCTTATTGTTCCATTCATTTTTACATCTGTGTTACATTATTATTTTCTAGGAGTCTCTATCAAAAAAGAAAATAATACTACCCAAGACCCATTTGTCTCCTTAAGTAATGGTTCTTCAAGCATTTGAGAGCAGCCATTATTTTCATTCCCCAATCCTTCACACTCTCCTTTAGAATAAATTTCCTTGGCTCTTTTAGCTGAAACTATAGTTTGATTTTCAAATCCTTCAGCTTCTCCAGTCTGCATAAAGAATATACTCACCTGGATATCTGTTCTCAGCATAATAAATGTGATTACACTTCAACTAAAAGGCAGTTTAGGAATTAGGTAATTAATTTTCTCATTTGTTTGTGATCTTGAGAAAGAGGGCTTAACTCTATAGAGGTCAATTCTTGCCTAAAATGCCCTATTGTATTGAGTCCTAATCCCCTCAGAAGTGATTATAGAAAAGGATTTTCTGATTTTAAATGCTTTTCTTCATCTGACATTTTACCTAATCCCAACTTTTATTTTACATCAGCTACTTTTATGTCACTCTGACCAAGTGTGTCATAGAAAATGCTTAAAGGAGGAAATATTTATTTTGGAACACAGTTTTAGAGGGTTCAGTCCATTATGGCTGGGAAGAAAAAGCAAGTCCATGCCTATAGGCAAGTGTGGTGGAAGCTGTTCACATTGTAGCTGACCAGAAAGCAGAGAGGGCATGAGAGAGCATGGAAAGAAGCTGGGACCAAGCATAACCTTCAATGACTCACCCAAATGACCTGCTTCCTCCAACTAGGCCACACTTCCTGTAGGTTCCATAGACTCCCCAAATATCACCACTAGCTGAGGATCAGGCATGTAAGACATAGGCCTGTGAGGGACATTTCAGAGTCAAACTATATCAGGGTTGCTGGGAGTGATCCTTTTCCCATTGTATCTTTGGTGGTGTTGGTGGATTCTGGTATATTTTCCATCCATCCAAATTGTATTACAATGTCAGGGTAACATCTGACTTTGCTTTGTAATAGTCTGGATATGAGGGACCTTGGGAAATGCTGAGCACCTGAGAATAACAGAAGAAATACTGTTGATGATCAGAGAGTGAATGGATAAATCAGTACAGGTAAAGTCTGATAACACACATGGACTGGCATCTATGTTTCTACCCATGATTTCAATTTGGAATACTCTCCTACAATGTGGAAGGAAGTATCACTTATTCACTCAGTGCATATTACAGACCACTTAAGCAAGATTGGGGCTTGTGGCTACAAAGCCTCTGTTGTCAGTACCTGAAATATGAGATATGCCAGCAGGATGGACTGAGGGATAAAGATGTCATACTGTCTTAGATGTAAGAATGAGCATGCTATATTTCTGGAGTAAACTGAGAAGAATAAAGATGTATTTGAGATTTGAGGTTTAAGTTCTGTTCCTTCCAGCCGGTCCCATAGTCAGTGCGCAGGTCAAGAAAATGCTTCACATAGATTTGATGCCACACACATTTTTTATGAGCTCTGATGACTTGGGTTGCATCTTTAAATTGAAAGAGTCAAGGTTTATTTAATGATTTTTAATTAATTTTAATTACTTACATTTTGAATGGTGGCTTAAATGAATCCCAGCCCCCTAGATTACTCTGGGATACCTGCCAATTTCCTCATGACATGCTCACTTTCCTAACACACTATTTGATAATGAAAGACTTTAAAGCAAACTTCCAAAATATTCAGTCTATGATAGAGAACCCTTGGGATGTAGGAGTGGATTATAGTATGAAGTATGAATAATATAGCTCATTGCAACCAAACTTATGAACAGATTCTTTTACCCAGGGAATGTCTGCCTTTGGTAGCAGTGAAGAATTTCTCCCTTCACACAGGTCCTAACCCTAAGACAACCTTTGTGAATGCCCAGAGTAATGAGATAGAATAACTATTGTCCCAAGGGGATTAAATGATATTTGTCTTAAATTTGGAGTACAAATGTTAAGGCTTTATTGAAAATAAATCAGAGGAGAAAGAGACAGGGATGTTACTTATTCTTCAATAGAGAGCATGGAGATGAGATGCATTTGTGTTTAGATGGTAAGACACCTACTAGGTTCCCAAGCAAGACTGAAATCTCCCTTAGGACAGAGGCTCTCGAATTAGAAAGTAGCTAGACTTTAACATGCTACCATTCAGTTTCCAGACAGAGACTTTTCAAATGTGAGATCAGGGCGAATTATTCAGCCCCAGAAATCAGGCTCTTTAACTTCTACCACTACACCTGTTTCATTAGCCAGCACAAAAATTAATTATATCATGTGGCATATATTATATACTCACAATATTAATCTCTCTTCTCCCTTTTTAAAACTTGAAAAAGACACACACACACACACACACACACACACACACACACACACACACACACACGAAAGCTCTTATAAATAAAATGATCCATAGAATTATGTACAGTGCTGGAATACTATGAGGCTGTGATTTTTGGACAGACATGATTGGTCTTTTACTCACTGTTATCTATTCTTACATTCTATGCTGAGAAGAGCAAAAGTGGGATACAGAGCTCTGTGGTAAACACTGTCCCATAGGTGGTAACTTACAGTCCTACTTTCCTAGGGATCCTGAAAATAGAAAAAAAAATGGTTCAAAGCCAAGCACTGTGATACATCCCTATAGTACTTGGAAAGCTGAGGGAGGAAGATCATGAGTTTGAAGTCAGTCTGGGTTATATAGTGAGACCAAGTCTCAAAAACAAATAAGTGCACAAAACAAATCTTGCCCAGAATGTTCTTGTGAATAACCTGGCCTGAACTAGCTGTCTAATCTTGGATATCATTGGTTTGTTCAAGATAAGTGATGCAGACTGTAGCCTACTTCTGGCTACTGCTGGAATCCTCAGTGATTTCAGAGATGATAGAGAAATGAAGCCAGACTCCAGTATTTCTATTGAATATTTCTCAAAAGTAGCATATTACTGAGGTGTAGCGCCCAGGTTTATTCAAAGTATTAGAAATAATTTATGCGGTGACAGTTCCATTTTGTGCCAACTCCAGATACTTATCAAAGACACCCACTGGCCTTCATGTAAGGAATTTCCATTCCTCTCTCTTTATCTGCTTTTCTAAATGGGCTGGTTTTCCATTTTCCATATTTTCCCTTGGTTAACAACAACTAGAATTTGCAATGCGAAGTCTCTGCCAGGAGTTCTGAAATGGAAATTAGTTTAGGTAATTTGAAATTGGTATCAAGGGAAAAGAATTTAGAGAATTTTATGAGTTCACCAAAGTCAAAGATGTTTGATCTTAACAGACCTCTTTTCCTGGACCTTCCCCCCAAAGCCTGAAGCATCTGTGATGGAGGGCCTGCCAGGCTGAGGAAAGTGAAGGTGAGTGTGGCAGAGGTGAGTCCAGTGGGAAGTGGCCTCTTTTCTGTCCACAGGCCCTACATAATTCATAGCAGAGAGATTATATACAATCTCTTATTCATGAATCTTTACCGAGACTGGTTATTTCTGCTGGCCAACTGAAAGTAGATGGTTCCCTCTACATTGTCATCTTCCTCCTCCAAACTCAAGGACACAGAGAGAAGCAAAGACTCTCAGAGCCTTAAAAATGAAAGTCCTTCTTTCTCTTCTAAGTTCCTCCAGAGTCCTTAATTCTGAACTCCCATGAGGCTATTGCCAATCCACTCAGCCAAGAACCTCTCATCCTGAAGTCTTCACTGTTGACAGAGGCTGATACATGCATCACTCTCGGAATTTGGAGTACCAAAAAGGAGCCCTGAAGAGGCAATGGGAAGTACACTGACTAGAAGAGAAGGGTGCAATTGAAGGAGTGAAGTTTCTTTATTTTCTCCCTCTTGGCAGTTGAAATTAAATAAAAATTGAGCCAGCAGCCCTGCTTTAAATGGGTTTCAATTCTCTTTCCCCCTCTTAGTCCTATTTCCCCTGTGTCCTCATCCACATCAGAAGGAAGCCCAAGTGTCTGGAGTCTTGAGACAAATCATAATTGGTAGTTGAAGTAAGGGCTTAAAGTACTTCCTCCACTTCTGTGTCTCTTACACAGCCAGTGAGATGTGAGGCTGGGAGGGGGAATCTGAGAGCAGAGTGCAGTGTGCCGCAGTTCTGTTGAATGCGAGTTCCCACTGCAGTGGCGTTCACTGGCCCCAGAGTTCCCACAGAGGTCAGTGGTGGGCACTGACAATTAGCTACTTTCTTTTCCTAATGATGGAGCAGGACAGCAAAATTTTGGAAAGGCTGAATGCAACTCCTTCTCACTTTACCTTCCCAAAGACTCCACCTGGAAGTGTCTGTGTTAGAGTTGTAGAGCAAAAGCTAAAGAGGGGTTCTTCCTGCCCTTGCAGTTCGCTGGATTTTTCTGAGGGTTCCATCTCTGACAGTTACTTAGAGTCCCTCTTACTAACATGCTGGAACTAAAGCCAGCCAGAAGAGAATTGCACTTCTCTGAAATTTAGAGCAAGTTTTTTACAGCTTTGGCTCCTGTTTGCTCCGCAGAGCCTGTGTGTGATATGTGTTGGGCAGCTTCTGCGCCTTGTCAGTGTCTGGGAGTTTTTGATGTATTGACACTGTCTCTTTCCAGCCCCAGGGAGTTGCTTTTGTTTCTTCGTCTACTGAATTTGTTTCTTTCTTCTCTTTTTCTTTCACCCAAATTAAAAAAAAATACATAGTAAAAGGTATTGTAAATGAGTGAGACACAGAGTTGTGGCTTCCATACCTTGGTGAGCTGGGATGGAATTGAAATGTTTTTGAATGTTCCATCCAAGGACCTCCCAGGACCACAGCAGGGAAGAAAGGAGTGAAAATCAGGGGAGCATGGGCAGAACTGTGTTCATAGAATCCCTGACACCCCTTTCTTTTTCTATGCAACATCCCAGGGACTGGAGGAGCTGGGATAAAAGAGCCTTTCACAGAATGAAAAGCTGAGAAAGCCATACAATAGCAAGTGTCCAGGTGAAAACAAGGATGGAGTCTGATGCTGCTAATTAAGTAACAAGGACTGTGGTGATGAGCTATGATGATGAGCTACTCCTGACTTGGGTTGCTTTGCCATCTTTAGAGGCAAGTGAGAGTTCAGGCCCCTCAACCCTGGTCCAATAACTATGCTGTCAGTCTCTCCCATCAGGGGTTTCTCAAGCTCTGCTTTGAGGCATAATGGAAAGCCACCTGCTGGCCACCTGTCCCTAAGGCTGACAGAGCTCTTTGTCAAGGCTCTTCTCTCCAGTGTGCCAAAGCAGAATAGTACAGGATGGGGAGTTCCCCATTAGTTCCAACCAGTCATCTTTCTAGCTATAATATGGGTTCTTATGTCAGAGGGCTGCTGAAGGGACCCAGTGACATCACTATGTGTGTTTTATATACTGAAAGATAAACTATCATTACACTGTGACTATTCCTAACTACAAAGAAGAGCAGGCTAAAGACCATGAGAGCAAGGCAGATATCCCAGGCAGGGGGAGTGAGTTGAGAATATCTTAAAATCCCGACTTCTTATTTATAACATCAAGTGGCACACACTGTCTTACAAACAAGCCCTTGTTGTTTGTCTCTTCGTCCTTTCAACTCTGTTTTGTTTTCTCTAGCATTAGCTATACAGCTTCCTAGAGGAACATTAAATCACAAGAGAAAAATTATTTGGCAGTAAAGTTTCACAGCCACAGGTGTACAGAGTTAAACATACAGTCCAGGTTGAAGACCTAGCAAAAGCTTCCTAGGTGAGGCTGCAGTATCACCTCATGATTGTTTTTTCTATCCTAATCTGAGAGGTGGTCTGCCTGGCAGGAACTCTTAAGTCCTCTCATGACTTCTGGCTTAGCTGGCATTCCATTGGAGTTTCTGGATTTGTCTGAACACAGCGAGTTGGTCTCTCAGAGTTCTTTGGTTATATCTGCTTTTCCCCACAAAGTCATTCTCAATTTATCTCACCATCCACACCTCTAGATTAATAATTTAATAATTCCCTCCTTCTTCTTGACCATGCCCTTCTGTGTCAGAATTGTTCAGTGAGTTTTGCATTCCTGGCCTTGGCAGCCTCTGAAAGCCTTCATTTATCTCTCCTAATTTTCTCCTCTCAGGGGCGTTCAAACCTTACAAAGATGTTATAAACTTACAAAACAATCTGAGAAAATCTAACCAAGCTTCATTAAAAACCTAGATCAGGATTTCAGAGGCTACCCAATGTGTCCTCTTATGTAAAAAGATGAATTACACTGAAACAGTCAATG